TTTCTCCAAACCACTCAAAATTTCTACTACTGGTTCTCCGAACCATTCCAAATTTCCGCTAATGGTTCTCTGAACCATTCAGAATTTCTGCTACCGGTTCTCTGAACCATTCAGAATTTCTGCTACCGGTTCTCCAGAACCTGCTGGATTTCACTCCTGCTATTTGGGTCGTGAAACTCTTGTAAGGAAACAGCCAAGCTCAGGGACCACCAAGGAGCCCTCAGGAACACCCTGAGCTACGAAGATTCCCCTTAATTCGTCCCTGGATTTGAGAGAGAGACTTTGTCCTGGGAAGAGGGGATCCTTTGCCCCCCTCCCCGCAAATACAATCCCCCCCCCCGAGTCCTTCAGGCAAAGCCAACAGCATTTATCAAGGTGGGAGGAGTCCTTTTGTGGGGCACACAAACACAACACAGGCCCTGGATAGAGGAGTCAAGCGGCCAAGCAAAGGATTAGTGGATGAGATGTGAGATTTGGACCGTGGGAATCATTGACTCCGGAGAACCGTCCACAAGGGGCGAGATTTGTGGATTGCGTTGCTCCTGGGTTGGTGTCTCACTTTGAAACTTGCGCATGTATTCAAGGGCTTCCAGGATTATGGTCTCGGTTGTGTAGTTGCCAGGAAAGCAAGTTGTCGCATGCACAGCCCTCCCGAAAAGGCCAGGAAGGGAGCAGCTCTTGGCTGGGGGAGGTTGGGGCCCTGACAGCGATGACACCCCCCCACACACACACACACCCCTCTCTCCCCTGCAAGTGAGTCCAATCTGTAGCTCTGCTTTCAAAGCCTCCTGTGGCTCAGGCCAAAATATCTGAAAGACCATCATCTGTCCACCCCAGAGGGCCAGAAAGCACCAGCTGAGGGTTCCCTCCTCCCCTTGTGGGCAGTTGAAGGTCTCTGTGGGGCTCCCCCCACCACAAGCACAACCTGCCCCTTGGCCCCACTTCAGGGACTGCCAAAAACATGCCTTTCCCGGAGGGCCTTTGTGGGGGGGGGGGGGATTCTGTCATGGACGCTTTAAAAGGGAATCTTAAAAACTTATTCAATGTCTGTAAATCGCCCAGATAAATGACACAAATAAAACATAAACATGTTGGTATTTTTAATAGGAAACAGGAGNCCCCCCTTCCCCCTCCCCCTTCCCCTCCTTCTCCTTCTCCTTCTTCTTCTTCTTCTTCTTCCCCACTATTAGAGTATTAAAAACTGATGTCCAAAAGGTTTTTGCTTGCTCTCACCAGACATAATCAGTGGTGCAATATCCTTGTTGTGATTGTGGCATAACTACATAAACTCAGTATAATTTGAAAGGTTTAGCTAAAGGACTAAAGTTTCAGCCATGGGTAAGTCAGTTCATGTGTGCATGGGTTGCAAAATTCAAAAGCTAATGAATGTGAAGAGAGACAAGGATTAAAAAGTTGTGTGAGTTCATTCACCCTGATTTATCAGGCCAAATAGTTATTTTTGTGGGTTATTTAAGGGACCACCTCTTCCCAATTACTGTCTCATCTGATCTGGCAGAAGAAGTAAGTTGTGGATTCCATCTGGTAAATAATCACATCTGATGGCATCTCAGAGACAAGCCTTTTAGGTTGTGACACCTGCCCTGTGGAGCATCATTCCTTTGGAGATGAGACTGGCTCCATCCTTAACATCCTTCCCAAAATGCCTCAAAACATGATTGGGTCAACAAGCTTGGAATCTCAAGATGAATCAGGAGATGGTTACATTGTCTGAAATGCTCTCTTCTATGTCTCTTAATATTGATGTTTTTGAATCATGGAATATTTCTAGTGTTGTTCTTTTTTATGAGTTTATTTTCTATTCTATGCAGTGCAGAGTCATATGTGTTTGGTGACCTATGGGGTGCTTGAGAATGGAGCAAATTGCTCCATAGACAACCAAACACTTTTCGCCCGGATGGAAAAATGACAGACACAAAGCTTTGTGTGCTTGCAAAGGGAACAGTTTGAAATGGAGTGATTAACTCCGTTTCAAAGCATCTCCTTTGCAAGCAGAAAAAAACTTTGTCTCTCTCTGGGTGAAAAGTGTTTGAGCAGTGACCACCAGCCCTGCCCTCTCCATCCCATTGTTTGCTTAGCTGTGGCCTCAATCGGGGCCAAACTCTCAGCATGCCCCGGTCTGCACCTGTCCTGGTAGGAGGGTGAAGAGCCTCTATGAGGCCAACAGCAGCATAGGCAGCCACTTGGCGGCCAGCACAGTGCCTGTTGTGGCCAGCAAGTGTCCTGCTAGTAGCTGGGCCAGCAGGTAGGGCGGGTGGAGACCAGGGGTTGCCAGGAACTTGGCCCGTTGCAGAGGTGGGCAAGCAGGCAGTGGGACAGAGAGGACAGGGCCAGCTGCATTCCCAGTCCTATGCTTGCCGCTTCCTGCACTTAAAAAAAACCAATGTCTGCCCATAAAAAAATCCAAGAGCTTATTTTCAACTCCAAAAGAAAATAAGACCGGGTCTTATTTTCAGGGCAACATGTTTTGTGTTTGTGTGTGTGTGTGTGTGTATACATACATACACACACACACACACACATATATAT